TCCAGTATGGCTGTGGGTAAAGGAGCAACAGGTAAGCAGGACTTACGTTGGTTTATAATGTTTAAAGCAGTGGTGGGGAACCTCATCTATGGAGGGCTGGTGTGGGTGCAGGTTTTTGGGATCACCTCTTAATCAGCCACTAATAAAGCAGTGGTTTTCAACTCCAATAACCCACTGATACTGGCTGATTGAGAGGTCATCCCAAAGACCCGCACCTACAGCAGCCCTTCATGAATCAGGTTCCCTACCCTTGATTTAAAGCACAGCAGAGTATCTCATTGTTCTCAGATTCATTTAATCATTTTTATCTTAAAAAATTAAATCAAAAAGTATCATGTCCCGCAGAATTCTGGTCAACTTAATAAAAATATATTTGACATGTCACTGCACAACATATCCAGGATCAAGCACAGACAGATTTATTCAGGGAAATCTATAGTTAGATTGATGGATATTACACTACAGTATATTCCATTGGGATTTAAATAAATGGGTCACACTTTACTTGAGGGAGCATGAATAATGTAGTAGTACAGGCTTACTTAATGCATTAAGTAACCAGTAACCAAGTGTTAGGTACATACTGATTCCATGCTTGTTCATCATTAATCAGTTATGACCATGTATTAATTCAGGCACTATAGTAGTTAACAGTTAACTAATTAGTTAATAATGGTAAGGCCACTTGAGGGAGCAAAAATTACTTAACTCATTTCCTACTCAAGAACAAATCATGAACTAATATAGGTTTCCCCATGAAACATGGTCTGTATTTGAACTGTCATGACTGATTGATGAATTACTTAAGAAACACTTAGTTACTGGTTAATTAATGCATTAAATAAGCATGTACTACTACATTATTCCTGTCTCCAAGTAAAGTTACCGAAAATGTCATTAAGAAACCATATAAATATTCAAAATTTTGTCATTATATTGTCATTACAAAAGAAAGCTATAAGGATTGTTAAAAGGGCTGATTACTATGCACCAACAAATAAAATATTTATTAATTTATTTGCTTTAAAATTTGTAGATTTAGTTGATCTATATACAATCCAGATAATGTATAAAGTTTATAATAATTTACTTCCAAATCGTATTCAGAGGCTGTTCAAAATAAGAGAAAGTCAGTATAATTTAAGAGGAATGTATATGTTTAAAAAAATCAGGGCAAGAACTAACGTTAAAAATAGGTGTATATCTGTCCAAGGGGTTAATTTATGGAATAAATGTGATAAGGAACTAAAACTTTGTAAATCACTTTGCGAATTTAAGAAAATGTATAAAAGTATGGTTATAAATAATTATATGAATGAGAATTAAATTGTAAAATAATCAGTTTAAATTTTGCAGTAATGGATGGAATTCATATTTCTGTTATTATGTATGTTTTAAATTATGTTTGTATACTCTGGAAAATGTCTTATGAAATTTAGTTTTCTTGTGTCATCCAATTGAGTAAACAGTGTCGTTCATCAGATAAGAATGTATAAAGGGTAGGCATAATATGCAAGGCTTCAGCCTACACCTTTTTCGGTTTTTCTTATATATATGTTTGTATGTTTGCTTGGCATGGGGTATTGTTTTCGAGGACCGAAAATAAAAAAAATATTATTATTATTATTATATTATATGACTACTTTGAGACCAGAATGGGAAATCCAGTGTCTCTGTTGATGTTTCTGCCCTTCTGTCACAGTTGCATTTCCAGTTAAAAGTTTAAATGTCACCGCTAAAAATGCCACATCACTGGTAGCACACTGGGCCACTCCTGTTGGATGTGTACAAGATTTCCTGCTGTCACTAAATCACAGCAATAAACGAGCAATGGGAAATTCCATTGAATTCCATAATCTGCTGCCTGGCTACAGCTATAGAGTTAGCATCATTGTCTATGGATTTGGAGAACCGTCAAAAGAAGTGTCCGTTACTACAAATACTTGTAAGTTCAATATATTGAGCTCGTTAATAATAATCAATGTACTTTTTTCAAGGATCAGCTATTATATGGACCATGGTGCCTTATTGATAGTTTAATCTGGTTCACTCATTCTTTCTAGTAAAAATATAGAGAATGCATTAAAAATTCAAATTTTGCCTTGACTTTTTTTTTCTGATGACATTTTTAATGGGCCTGGTTTATTCAGTCAACTCATAGCAAAATAAAATACCTATAAAAGAAAAATCCCTTCTGGCTGTGAAATATGCTAATACTTTGACCAGATTTTCTATACTAAAGTGCAACAATTGATCAAATTGACGGAAGACTCTTACATTAAATGATAGAAAATAGTGTCTGTTTATGTGTTTTTCAGATCCTGCAGATTTAGTGGGCGTAACCTGTGGGTACGCATCATCGGGCTACAGCATTGCATTATCCTGGCCACCCCCATTTGGAATTTGGACAAGAATGGAGGTGAAGCTTGCTGGACAAAGTCTTCAAAATGTGACTGGTTCAAAGACCAGCGTAATCATTGATGGAGTGCAGCCTGGTAACAGCTACACCATCAGTCTTCAACTGTATTCAGGAGATCTGGGCAGCCTGCCTGTAATAATCAGCTGTACGACTGACCCAAGAGGTGAGAACCAGATCAGCAACTTCTTTAGAGAATGGCATGCATTATTTTGGAATTAAGAAATTCATTTATATTGCCTTTTTATATTTTGCAAACATCCTTTTGGCAGTGTTTAACGTGTTTTAAAATAATAATATGTGAGTTATGTGCTGGTAAGTACATCCAACATTAATTAATCCTTAATTAAGTTCAGCAACTGACATTCCAAAGAATCAATATCTTCTGCCATGAAAACTGGCCTGCATTAAACTGCAAATGTTGTCTAGCGTTATAAAATGTATTTATTATCTGCAGGCATTATAGCTGGTGTGTTGGTGGCAGTCCTAATACTTCTTATGGTGATCCTTGCTATCGTCGTTTTACGCCGTAAGTCAAATTGGCTAAGGTATGTACAATTATAAAATCCAAAGTATATATTGTTTTTAACAGAAACACAATAATCTGAATAAAATGTTTACGATGATGGCTATATTCACACACAAGTACACAAATAAACTTAGCTATCATCTCATAATTATGACAAATTTTACATATTCTCAGAAATGCATGCTTACAGATACGCTATAAGGACAAAAAGTATTGGGACACACCTCTCAGTCAATGAATTCAGATGTTTCATTCAGACCCATTGCCACCAGTGTATAAAAGCACACACCTAGTCATGCAGTCAGATTTGCAAACAATCGTGAAAGAATGGGTCATTCTGAAGAGCTCAATGAATTCAAGCGGGGAATTGTCATAGGATGCCACTTTTGCAATAAGTCAGTTTGTGAAATTTCTCCCCTGCTCGATATTCCATGGTCAACTGTAAGTGGTAATATTGCAAAGTTGAAGTGTTTAGGAACAACAGAAAAGTAACAATGGGGTCGAATTGTGCATAAAAGTTGCCAATGCTTGGTTGACCCAAGAACGGCAGAATTCCAAACTTTCTCTGGCATTAACCCCAGCACAAAAACTGTGAACCAGGAGCTTCATGGAATGGGCTTCCTTGGCCAAGCAGCTGCATGCAAGTCTTACATCATCAAGTGCAAAGTGTAGGTGTAACGGCCAGGTGTTCCAATACTTTTATCCATATAGTACACATTAATGCATTTTCATGCATACTGTACATATGTATCAGTTTGTATATTGCACAATTTGGATGCTATGATGCGGTATTAGTGCCAAAAATGTCCACAACTATTTCAGTTACTGTCAGATCTGCCTTTCAGCCTCAAAACCATTTTGGTATAACACTGCAAAAAAAAACTGCTTCCCAATACTTTTATTTGTGTATATATTTTCGCCTTAAAACATCTATAAACTACATATGCTATACAACTTCTTAAATAGCTAGCTTGCAGAGTTTAATGTTAAATTCATCAAAGCAGAGTTCCATAATACTAATATACATGTGACACATGGGTTGTGAAAATGTAGAGGTGCACTAGTGAAGTGAAGTATGTTGCATCCTATGCAAATGGAAAGTTATGAATACTTACGAGCACCTGGAGCTGATACTGAAATACAGTCATGGGTGGTAAAAAAAGTGAGAATGATATTGTTGTGTTCTGTGCCTTTATTTGAATAGAGGAAGCACCTATACAGGATGTACTATGCATGAGGCGGGATAGGATGTTACCTGTATGTACGAGTTCTGCAATGTGACTAGTAAAGGACTGGTTGATATACTCCGTCTCACCGTCATTTATTACACCAAAATACTACAGATATATTGACACAAGGGGCTGAATTTATTACATCAGTTCTGTTACTGTAAAAGTCTGAATGTTCTGCTATTTGCATTGCTCTTTCAAAACCATTCTTCATTCCATCGTGTCCGTATAGTTACAGAAATCCATTCTCACATCCTTATCAAAATTAGCCAATGTGCATTAGAGCTCCTTGAATGTAAACCAGTCCAACATGTATGTATGTATAGGTGTGGGAAATGTTATGACAAATTCTTCCACCCTGGGAGGGCAGTGCGGTGGCCTCATACACCTCCAAGGCTGTGGTCCTGGTTCTCCTCCTACATACATATATTGACGTTGCATGTTCTCCCTTCTTTCACTTTAGTTTTTACATGCCTTACAAAAATGAACAGATAAGTGAATTGATTTCTCTAAAATTCCCTTATTGTGTGCCCTGCGAATGCAGTAGAATCTTTCCAGGGAATTTTCCAGACATCCCAACTTAGGCATATTGATTCCAAGGAGGCAGAAGGAGGACAACCCGGAAGGGGGGGGGGGTGGCTAGGCATGGCAGCATCATTACGGTAGTACCGTTTAGCACATTATTTTCATTCAAAAGTATTCCAACCCCCCCCCCCAGTTAACAGAAAATATTGTAATTTAGCAGTGCTTTTTAAAATATTGTCAAAATACCATTTGCATAATGTCTGAATGGTATGATTAAAAATGAAATTCTGCCCAAGTCTGAGAAGCTTGATTTGCAGCCAGGATTGGATGATGCTGGCTAGGCTTAGACAGTATTATGGTAATACTGTAGATTTGTTGACTGCAGGGAGCTGTTAGTAATATTTGTCTATTGGGGCTGGATGGTGGGGGTAAAATTTACCAACCAAGTGGGGCGAAGCTCTGGTGGGAAAAGGTCTTCCTGGGTAATTTTACTTCCGCTGAATATTAAAATGACATTGCACATCATTCAAGGGTGTCTGGGGATTTCTGGGATAGTGGGGTGCCTGATTTTCTGCTCTCTGCATCCTGAAAATTAAACGATATCTACCTTTTTGAATCCTGTAAATTTCAGTTTGTAAGCCTGGCAAGGTGCATTACAGCTGAAATAGAAATTATTATTGTTTTTTTAAATTAAACAATTTTCTGTGTATAGAGACCTTGAATATCCCTAAAATATTTTTATCTCCCTATAGGCAAAAGCGGCTAACAGAATCTGAAGTAACCGATGATAAATTCAAGTATGTACACATATTCATACGTCCTCCTCTGAATTATTATGCATTTTCATGCAGCACTTTGTTCTGATAACTGATAGTCACATAATTGATTTTCTCAAGAGTGGTTCCTGTGGGCAAGTTTGCAGAGCACTTCCACAAACTGAGCTGTGATCAGAACAGAGGTTTCAGTGAAGAGTATGAGGTACCGAGTGTATGTGTGTGTGTGTGTATGTTTGAGGTGTGATTCTGGTTTAGATTTTTCTCTTCCCAGTGTTTCAGTATGAGTACACTAATTTCAATATACCTGCCTCATGCAACAGAACTTGAGCACAGCTGGTGTGGATCAGCCATGTCACACAGCCCTCATTCCAGAAAACAAGGCCAAAAACCGCTTCACCAATGTGCTGCCCTGTAAGTTCATGCAAATTCTATAACTCTGTCATTTTTTTGTGTTTTGTGGTTCCCAAGAGTGTATGTGTTATATATCGATTGGCAAAAAGGACCTTACTGTTGATAGGACTGAAAACGAGACATGTCTGTTCTGTTGCTCTTTTCTCAAAAGTCATTTGTCATATGTGTTCTAATGTTTGTCAGGTTTTGGTAGGTTGCGCTCCACACTCTTTTTTGTACAGAAGAGGAAATTAAAGCAATATATTTCTCAAACATGCAAACATGCAATCAATTTTTTTAATACTGGAGTCTTAGGACATGGGGAAATCCACAGTGTCAAGATGCTGTGCCTTTTACTCAGCTGAGAATTGTGCAAGGTAGAATTGTGCAACAGCTCCCCCTGGGGTGCCCCATCCATTTCATGAAATTCCAAACCACAAAAGTATGTTATGTCAAATTATGGGAATGAACTAGCTTTCCTCACAGTTCATTTCCCTAACATGGGTCTTCTTGCCGCCACGAAGCATGCACTTCTCTGCAATCTGACTCCGTGATTCTAAATGGTTCCCTAGGTAGAAGCACACCCATAGATTTGACATTTTAATGTGTTATAAATGTGTTATTTGAGGATGTTACACCAAATGTCTACTCATTAGCACCCAGAGGTATTTTCTTCATAGAACTATAGCTCCTGAATTCTCCTATTAACTAAGCATTAAATAAAAAATATTGATTATTACTGATCATTTGAAACACCCGTTCTCTTACTTTGCCTCAATTGTGTCGCATTGTCTTACTCTGGAACCATTCTTTTAAATCGGATGTTTGTTATTTTAATATCTTCATGTAGTAATAATAATATTACTTCCGAATCCTGTTCACTATTCATCTGACACATATGTGGTTGTTCCTCACAGCAATGTCCACCTGAAGACAATTCTAATGTATAATCACTCACACTATCGATCAGCCTTGAGTATTTGAGGTGTGATTGTTCGCTTTCAGTCTGGGTCTGTTCTTCTGGTCATAGATCATTTCTGTGTCGTGGATCCTGCTTTGTTGATCAACTAATTTTACTTAGTTCCAAAACCTCATCCTTGGTAGGACCCATTGTAACATGGCGCTTGAGTCCTTAGCATGTCAGTGACATTCCTCACAGACGGTAGTCCGAGTTCTGTTGGACCTGAGCACTTGGAGGCTTGCCAACTGGAAAGAAGAAAGGAGAGACAGGTGGAAAACTTGGCCTTGTGTGTGCGTGCAGGTTTGCCTGTGGTGGGGTACCATGCTCAGGACCTGGTAATTTATGGGTTAGGGTTAGGGTTAGGGTTAGGGTTCAGAGTTGTGAGTTTCATTCTTATGTGTGCAAGACCTTTGAATTTTCCTCCTCAGCTTGTATTAATTTAATGGGTTGATCCAAAGACATCTGACTTAAGCTGTGTTTGTTAACAACGCTGGTCTGTTATCATGGACTAAACTAAGATTGTATTTGTGGTCTTGGCAACAGCAGTCTTCCTAACATCAAGTACGCATATTTCAAAACACCCTATGCTTCTATTCTGTGATGGATTGACATCCTGTTTACACCCTGTCACATGCGTAGTTCTTACTTGGATGAAACCCAAACTTACCATTACAATGGGAAATAGCTGGACTGATGGATCATTATTATCATCATTATTTTATGAATCTCTCTGGCCTGTTCTAACTTCTGATTAAAATAATACCATTCTCACCAGATGACTCATCTCGAGTGAAGCTCTCAGTAAGAAACCGTGACATGACCTCAGACTACATCAATGCCAACTATATGCCTGTAAGTCAGAAAAATACCATGGTTACAGGTACCTTTGCCCATATATGTGATGTAATAAACATTTTTGGAAACCCATGTATTTGTTTCAGGGCTATGGCAATAACAACAGGCAATATATTGCTGCTCAAGGTCCTCTACCAAACACAGTGAATGATTTCTGGAGAATGATTTGGGAACATGACGTTAAGGGAGTAGTCATGGTGACCAATTGTAATGAAGGAGGGAAGGTAAGTGTTGCACATGCCGTGGTGTGCGCATGACGTTTTACCCATTTAATTTGCTGTCAAATGCATAAACTCTATTCTTTGACTTTCCCAGGTTAAATGTGAACAGTACTGGTCTGAAATCTCCTTGCCCCAGACATATGGAAATCTGGCAGTAACAGTTACCTCTGAGCACAAAGACATCGACTGGACTCAGCGAGAGTTTAGTGTCAGAAATGTGAGTGTGATCTCTCAACACAAGAACTGGTAGGAAACGGGCATGTATGGTTGGAACACATGTTTATTCTTATTGCTTTCTAATTAATTTTAATGCCGAGGAGTATGTTTTACTGCACTACCTCATTAGAACCATTAAAGTTAATTATAAAGTATGGCCTTCAGCCTTGCAGTTATTTTCTGTAATTCCAGATGATGACATCAGAGGTCCGTCTTGTTAAACATTTCCACTTCACCGCCTGGCCGGACCACGGCGTACCGAGCGGGACCTCAGCACTGATGGAGTTCAGAGGGATCGTGCGACACCACATAGAGAGCTGTTGCTCACTAGCGCCCACAGTGGTGCACTGCAGGTTATGATATAATTATTAGTAATTCAAAGACAGATTTGTGTGCAAAATCAGATCATCTTCATAGGCTTATACTGCCAAGTCTGCTCTACTGGAATAGTGGATGGATGGATGGATATGCCTATACAGTACATTCAAAAATATGATTTTTATGGGTCTGAGGGGAGTTAGTACTGTAAAGAATGATACCAATAAATGCCTCTGTCTTTCTCAGTGCGGGGGTGGGTCGAACAGGCACCCTGATTGCACTGGACGTGGCTCTGCAGCAATTAGAGATGGAGAGGGCTGTTGGCCTGGCTGTCTTTGTCCGTAAAATGAGGCTTAATCGACCGCTGATGGTGCAGACAGAGGTAAGGCCAGGAGTTCAGTAGCTCTTTATCCATCAAGTTTCTTCTGTACAGGATACCCCAAGTGAAAGGCTTTGAAGTTAACCCTAAAACATATAATTTCTATGTTGCTATGGGTTCATGGTTCATTAACTTGAACATTTTTCCTGTAACTAAGTCATAATATCAGTCAGCATTTGCATTTTTACACTGTATACAATTCAGATTATAAAATGCTCATTTGTCACAAAGCTGTATATAATAATATTTTCCAACCATGTCCCTTTAAGGACTCCATACATTTGACATCATTAGGCTTAAGTTTTATATAGTCATGTTTCTTGTTTGTCTGTGACGTGTATTTTTCCCTTTTTATATGCAGTAGTTAATCCTTGTTCTTCTTCCCTAAGTAAAGAACAAACAGTTTTTGGCCCAACAGTGTTTGGAAACTGGATGGTAGACTCCTTAATGATGTGTAGCACATCCAGTGCTTGCTACCTTCTAATCAATGAAACACTTATCTACCAAATGCCTAATCCTGTATCTTGTCAAAGTTCTTAATATATAACCTGAAGATGTATTAACTTGTTTTATCTGTCTGATCCCCATATTTGTTGACTGAAGATATGTGTCTCTTTTCCCTTTACTTTTTTTCTAGTCCCAATACATCTTTTTGCACCAATGCATCATGGACAAACTCAAAAAAGAAATGAAAACAGAGGAACCTGTTTATGAAAATACAGACATGATATATGTTAATTCAATGGCACTGAGAGATTTTGTTGCACAAAATCCCAAATCTTAACGCCTTTAGTTAATTGCTCTGTCAATGTGCTTCTTTTGATAAAGTCTTTCCAAAATTGTGTTGAAGTGCTCTTTTTCCAGTAGCTGATCCATGCCATTTTATTGTTTGCAGATAATATTCCATTTTATTTAGGTTTTTTTGTGTATTTTTTAAATATTAATGCAATACAAACTAAACATCTATTTTCTGAAACACAGGTACTGTTGTCAGTGTTGTGGCAGTTGTTTAAAATATATATATTTTAATTTATTTTCTTTTTAAACTAATATGTAAAACATGTTATTACATTCTTTTGCTGAATTGTTTTATGAAATGCAAAAAATAAGATGTGAATATACTCCAGTTCAATTATTTAAAAAATAATAAAAACCTACACCTATCTCATACTTGTAAATATTAAGTCTGACATTTTATAAGGTATCCTTTTCGAAAATTGATACAGTATCCCATACATTATCGAAGAAATTTCTTTCTTGCTCCATTCAAAGAAGCCTGTTGAGTGCTAAACAATATTTTCAAATAACTGTTTAACTGTACAATGTGTCTGAGAGTTTTAATTATGCAGCAATAGTGGCTGGAGCATATGGCTGGATGAAACAGCTGTTTGAGGTAAGCACTGAGAATAAATTATGCAAATACCAGGGTCACTAATGTTGGATCAGACTAACACTTTTAAATACAAGAATTTTAAAGACTAAAAGGCCCCTGTGTGGAGGACTGGAAAATTGTTAATATGCTATTTAGACTAGAAGAATCACAATTTGGAAAAACAAATCTGGGAACAAATATTCTGATGTGGAAAAGGACTGACCTTTGGACACAAAGATTTACATTGTGAAGCATATTTACACTGGACAGTTTGCTTATCATTATGTTCAATCCTGATCACAAATTCGCAATCAAGTATTTCGTCTTTTTAAATGCAGAACAATAGGTATCCATGCATCTGTGAATTGATCAGTGACACCGGACATACATACCCTCAGATGCCTTGTTTATTTTAAGTCAGTAATTTAAAGCCTGCTGCATTTACTTGATTCTGGATCTGTTCCTCCATTTCTCATCCTGGGTGAGTCATATCTCAAGAGGAACAACTGTACTGATGAATGCTTAAAGTGAATCATAAATTAAATCACCCGCCACTCGTGCTTTATTACCACTTAAGCTTTTTTCCAACCTCTCATCAGACCACTTTGTCAGTTGTAATTTGCAAGTGGTCTAAATGTATATTCTTTCCTGAGAAAAATAAAGTTTCATTCCAGGCAAGTTTTAGATGGTAGCTTACAAGGTACATCTCGATTTTGCTAGTTATGCAGATATTATGATCAGAATTGAAGATATTACAATTGGTTACTATTTGCCTAACTACACATATGCTTGTAAAATTAATTCTGAAAATTGGGATGATTATAGGGACACTTTAAGGAAAACTGCATGACAGACATGATTATCAAATGATCAGGGAGAAATCATTTGTGTTTATTTCATTATATTTACCCTTTCAGAATTCATCCCTCCTAGTTGTTACTCTAGTTATTATCCTACCTTATTATTATTATTGCGTAATTTATGAGCATATATACAGGGGACAGACAAAATGACAGCGTGATCGTATGAAACATTGAAACAACAAAATCACAACTCCAATCACAGATAGAATATCAGTAATTTTAGGTTGATTGCCAGTATGTTTCAGCCATAAATCACACATCTGACAATCAGTATTTATATGATGTGTGGGTTACTGAATATATGACAGAAATCAATAATGGTATGGGTGGCAATCATGGGAAAGTCATAAGGTTGAGTGATTACTCTGTAGGGTTGAATAATAACCAAAACATATAATATGATTTTGTAAGACAAAATATTTTTTGCTCATTATGAAAGTTGATCATTTGTCTAAACACTTGAACTAAACAAATTCAAGAATGCTTTTGCGGATGTGAATCACCTTCCAGTGCTTCCCTAATCACCTTAACTGAACAACAATGAAAATTTTGAAGATGCTTTGGACCTCCAATCGTGGAAATACATTTCCACTACTTTCATTCCACAACAAAGGCTTTTCTTATTTAAAATGAATCCCCCTACATGTAGCTCAAACTTGCATGACAGAATTACAGAGGGGATAAAACTGCTCTGAAGGCAAAGAGTGGCTCTACTCCTTATTAGGTCCTTGATTTTGATCATTGGGACAAAATATGGCTATTTTTGTTCTGCCTTTTTCTTTTTTATAACCAAATCATAGAAATAAATTCACTTCTGTACGTTCAATTTCTGACTGTGTTTTTAAAACTCACCACTTGGAGGTAGTAATGGACAGTACACATTTCTGGTTTAACCTATGTGTTAACCAAAAGAATTTTTAGCACCATTTGAAAGGACACATGATTTACAAGATCGTGATTGTTGTGCGCATGCACTGAGAAATCAACGCAGGTACTTTTTCACATCTGTGAATTTGATGTCATAAATTTTTTAATCGTTTGTAACTGCTTCCTACTCTTTTTCTTTGCACTTTGGTTTGTGTAGTGTCACTATAGTCCCCAGCTTGTCCCCCATCCTCTTTGCAGTGCTTTCCGTGGTGATAGCCTGGGCGCTATATCCTGATATACCAGAAAGCAGCATTAGTAACATTAATGGGGAAGGATAGATTTGACATGAAACATAAATATCATTATTCATATCTGCAATTTAGCACCATAGTCAGTGTCTCTCATGCACTGGCTGCTCGAGAGCAGCTTATAGGTGCTACATCACTAGATGTTTGTGCTTCTAAACTTTAAATATTCCTCTTTACTCTCCAACAAATTAATATCATTAAAGTAGTGCTAAAAGTATAACAGAAAAATGAGACATAAATCCACTAAAAAAACCTTATTGTCCATTTTCAACAGTTCATATTACAAAGATTTATAATTATAAGATGAATATATAATTCACTTGAGGCCACCCCCAACTTGCTCTCCCACGGTGAGAGCAATCTGGCCATGAAGGGCAGCTATCCTTAGCAGTGCCCAGGGAGCTGGGTGGGGGGGGCTGTTAAGGGCCTTGTTTAATGACCCACAGATGTGCTGAGAGCCAGGCTTGAACCAACAACCTTCCTATCACATGTGCTGAGGCTTAGTCCACTGAGCCACATACTGACCAGTTCCATGCAAGCACATATAATATATACTGGCAATAATATTATGTTTTGAATCTGAAATCTGGAAGCTAGATTGATTGTTCATTGCAAGTCTAGTGGAGTTCCGTAGCAGGCTTACTTACATACTGCTTAATATTAATGAAGAGAAACGTATAAATATGATAGCGATTCCAGAAGGATATGTTCATAATACTTAACATTATTTATGAATAAACTTGTCTAGATAATTATTAAAAAGCATTAATATTGATTAACAATGATTTTCATTGCCATGATAATGATACAACAATAAAGAAACTGGCAAATGTAGAAAAATCCCTTTATTGCTCTTTTCCATCTGTACTTAGGAACAGAATTCACAAACTGTCATACTTTTTAAACAAAGCTGATTTTGAAGGATTGTTGTACCACAGACATTGTTAAATTATTGTTTATTAATACTTCTTTTTACGTTTTTTTTAAATATAAAAACATAATTCCATTTTAAAGATATTGTGTACAGTGTCTAACATTTTAATGCATTTATTTCCTTTTTTTAAATACATATCTGTTACAATTCCAGCAGCCCTCTCATTCTGTCCCTCTCTTGAATTCTTCCTCTCTCACACAAAACACAGCTCGTGCTTCTTGGCAGGTGCCAGCTTGTCACCAGCATGACGTCATCTAAGTTAGGACAGGTGACATTACATAATAGGACCAAGCTAAGCGAGTGTTTACAGTGGTATCGTCTGCTGTAGTACCAAAGCTCAGGGGAGCCCAAAACTGCCCTATAGTGAACTGTCAATTATGATGGTCCATTCGCTCATCTGTCTTCATCATCAATAGAACATTATTCTGATACAAAAATTGAATGGATAAGAGAAAACTAAACTATAAAAAAACAAAGGGGGGAGGGGAAACAAACAATGACAGAGAATTGGGGGATGACACATAAAATATCTACTGTGGGTGTCATTTCAGCAAATAGGTTTGTCATGAAAAAGGGCAGATGTTCATTAAGACCTGGGGCCGGTTGCAAGAAACACCTTAAGGCTTAAGTTAAGATTTTCTGAGAAAAGATTTCCTTAAACCTTTCAGGGTAGAGGATTCCTTAAAATAAAGTCGGTTGGACAAAACACCCTTATGTCTTCTCCGTAAAGTTTCCTTAAAATTTTCACTTAAGTAGCCTATTTAAGTTTTTCCCCTTATCTTGGTCTTATACTTAAGGAATCCCTTACAGTACCCTTAACGATTGCACACAAGACCTTAACATCCAAAGAAAAGAAAAAAAAAACTTAAGGTACCTCTAACTGTATCTTAACCGCGACATGGCTGGATTTATGCCGACAAATGAAGAAAATGAACGAAAATGTCCTGCGACTGGGAGTAGGCCTACCCAACAAATACGAATAACGATCAATTGATTTTGCCTGACTGCCAGTCAATGATTTTATGCATATTTTATTTACATGTTTATAATTCATTTTTAAATCTTGCTAGCAGATCGATCTTTTGGTTAAACAGAATTTTAAAAAATCTAATAAGTGCTGGCAAGTTTCACCCTGGGCACCAGCAATATAGGACAGAAGTACGTATTGGTTATGGAAAAATTTCCTGATGCAGAAATAACAAATATTAAATAAAGAAATAAACCTGAAGGCGACAGCAGGTATCACAAGCAGGCGTGAGTGCACGCAAAGAAATGGTCTCCGTAGAAACTGTACAGTTTTACTACCATAAAATGACTTACAATGCAGTAAATCCTTTAAGATTTTTCCTTAACTAAGGTTACATTTTAAGCATGGGCATAATTTCCAGGGGGGTTAGGGGGGTCATGACCCCCCCCAATAATCAGATCCAGCCAATATAACCCCCCCAATAATCATGTTTCCCCTGTAATGGGTGGAGACCTTGACCCCCCCCAATGTTCCAGACAAAGTTACGCCCTTGGTTTTAAGGGATTAAAACATAAATCCCTCGGTTTAGAGGAAATTAAACCTTAAGTGTCACACTTAAGGGGACAATTTAATTGTGTTTTGTGCAACCGGCCAAAGAATCTAGATGTCAAGATTTAACTTTCTGGAAATAAATTAGATTATTAAGCTTTCTCTCTGCGGATTTTCAGCTACTGTAGATACTGATATGTGTATTTTTGAAGTTCATGTATTGTAGCTTTCAGTTAAATTATTGCAGATATTGTCTTCCAG